TTGATTGCGTCAATGTCAATCCCAGCGCGCGCGTGGCTTACTACAGTTTTTCTGAGACTCAGTAGCGCGCGCTACCATTGCCTGCCAGACGTCAGTATTAATCGCGCGCTCAAAAATGACGTAAGTAACCCTAAAAAGAAACGAAAACCAATTCAGCACTTGAAAAGCGTTAAATCACTTCTTTAAATCACCTTTCAAACTCCGTTCAAACATGTGTTTAAGCCTAGGGCCAAAAAAGTATGACAAAAAAGCTCTATAAATAACCGGTAAAAGAACCCTAATTTACTCTTGCTTTCTCGCACGCGATACATGGCATCACATGAGTGCGCGCTTAAATAAAGGGCATGCACAATTCAATTCTCGTCCAAGGTTGTAAAAGCTAGTCTTTGATCGAGGATTACTCGAAAACCTACCGTACAACCCATGATGAAATTTTCACAGTTGATTTGTTGGGGTGAATCACGTTTGGAGCCAAAATTTTAAAAAAAATCTGAGACAGATTTTGAGCTATTTTTGATCTCACATTTTCTTAGTTTGCGAAAAATCTGTCTTACAGATTTTTATTTTACTTTGCATGAATGTTAAATCGGAGCCATTTTCTTTTTCCTAAATTTTGAGGTGGGGTCATACGGGTAGATTTTGAGAAAACGTAATATAACCTATTAGTATGAAGACAAGCAATAGACTGCAAGGCTGATACTACGTCAAAAACGTTTCGAGACACCACCATGACAAGCACCGATAAAGTAGGATCGCAACGCTGCGTTTTTTAAGCATGGTACTGGCCATGCGGTTGAATGTTTCAATGTTTAGGCTGGCCTTGTCCAGCCAGATTTATTCTTTTGCTTTTCGAGACACCAATCTTGACACTTTGTCTCCTTGCGCCCCAAAACACGTGATGTAGCAGCGCGTGTTTCGGGGCGCAAGTGAGTTCAAAGCACGGAACTTGATATAGTGCACGGGTCATTTTGCAATTTACGTGCGTTGGCTTTTGGGCTGGCGTTACATATCTTCGCTACACAGTGCTGACGAGCCCCAAGAAGGGCGAAACAGCTGTCCACTGTTGCGATCCTACTTT